CCCCCCCCCCGCCCTAACCTGCCCTGCCCCATTTACACCCCTTAGCTCCGCACAAAATCCCTCGGCTCTTGAAAGTTTCTCTGTTCTGTACTTTTCTTCCTTGCTGAAGAATCAGTCTTTGAGGTACATCTTCTTTTTGTGTTACGCTATTGAACTTTTGTTTCTATTTCTCTTACTTTGCCCAATTACTGAAATTGTTATCTTTCGATTGTTATGTAATTTTTGTTTGGGATTCGTGTCCCGCATCTTTTACTTAGGACAAACCACATCAATTCGAAAAATAATAAAGAAGCTTTGTTAAGTTTGAGAATTTGTTGTTTGTTTCCAGAACTAAAGGGTTAATTTCTGAGGTTTTACTCCTCTTTTGTTTTGTTTCTTCCCTGGAGTTGATTGTATTGAAGGTAGTTGACCAATCTTAGGGAAAGGAAAGAATCAATGTTTATACAAAATTTCTGATATTGGAGCTATGTAATGCTAGCAAGTTTTCTCAGTTAAAAGAAACATTTCTTTTTTTATTAATTTGATGAAAAGTTTTGGTTAAACGTATTAGATTTGTGATTTATGGGAAACGATAAATTTAACTTAAAGAGACATGAGTTGAGAAAACCCCACAACCAATTATGAAGACATTTATCTATGGAACTGCCATTTTTTTTAATAGTGGGTCTTATAGGGTTCTTTCTTGTACTGCAAGTGTGCTACTCTGTAGTATGTTAAGGGTCAACATTTTTTTTACCTGTACAACCTTCAGTTAAGTTGAAACTCATTCCGGAGGATTATCATTTGGTTTACACTAAAACATTTGTACTCTGGTTCTAGGTGGATGTAATTACATAAAGTATGTCATGGAATATTTTAGGCTAGTTTGAGCCTTATTACACCTGAGGTGTAGGATGTCATGAAATGCCTTTGCCGTGATTCATCTCCCTTCAATGCTGATCTTTAGTGGTTATTAACCCGGCGAGTCAAAACGTGGTGACTGTAAGTCTTTGTATTGTGAGGTGTCCACCTCTAAGATAGGCTATGCCTTTAGGCGTCAATTTAGTCATCTTCAAGTTATTCATTAGAAGATAATATCTATTTGTTGTCTTCTAGTTAACTTTAGTTTGTAAAAGTCATTTGAAGTCTGGAGCCTCTATTTATATAAAGAGCTCTTTCGTTTCTTTTGTAATGAGTGGTGGGACTCATTTAGAGAAGGCTCTTACTAGAATAGTTCTTTTGTTCCTTGGAAATCTCCTAAAACCCAATTAGATTTATTTAGTGCTTCCTTAACTCATTTAATTTAATATGCTCTAGACCTCTTAGTGAGATGTATATTGGAAAAAGCAAGCTCGTGCAAGTTTTGATCCTTCACTATGGTACTTGTAGTTGGTTCATATATAATAGGTAGGTCTTGAATATGAAAATATTAAAAATCAAGAGAGTGCTCCAGAATTGTCTGATGCGCATGAGGCACTTTGCGCTGTGATGGCTGAGCTTGCAGGGATCCCCACTAGCTATGCTACAGGAACAACTCGTAGAGTCCAGGGTTCGGATCCCTTCTTGAAAAAGTTAAAAAACTCCGCATGTACTGTGCAGAATGGCGGATAGGCCTTCCGAGGACGTAGCCAGTAAATCAGCTTTATGGTCAATTACTGAATGGAATATTCACCACACCCTGCATGCAAAGTTGTTTTAACTTTTGTGAGGGTAAAACTTGAACTCTGAAATGCACGACATCTTCCTGAACTCCAAAATGCACGACATCTTCCTGACTCTGATCCCACCCAGTTGAAAAGGATATCTTTTCCAGTAATGGGCTAGAAGCCGCTTTATTTACTCGATGACAGGCCTATCAAACAAAGCTTGAAATACAATCATCTTAAAAGTTGAACTAGGACACCTAGAATTGCAAAATCAATTGTAGTTGGAAACTCAGAAAACCATTTGAATGTTGCAATCAGATTTTAGTTTTGACCCCTTTTCTATATCAGAAAATGTGGTTTTCCCTTTAAAATACTTCCAGGGGTAAAAAAAACCTATTTGTAGGTGGTGGCTACATTCTGACACTTCAGTTTTATTTACCAATGCATACACTGTTAACTCTCTTATGTATGAGTTTACTGTAACTTACTCCTAAGTTGCTTGCGGGTATCCGATACGTGGATGGATCCAAGTTTCGGATTCGGCAAAATCTAAATTTTAAGATTCAAGGGTGCGGATCCGGATCCGGATATGGATACGGATGCGGGGATTCGGCTAATAAAAAATAGAGCTATAAAAATATTATAAATTTTGAGAGATACATTCTGACACTTCAGTTTTCTTTACCAATGCATACACTGTTAACTCTCTTATGTATGAGTTTACTGTAACTTACTGTCTTACTCGAAAAGTATGGTTTTATAGTGGTTTTGTAATTATCCTGATAATTTGCTGCTTTTGAGACGCTACAGAGTAAGTAATTCAGAATGAGTGGAACAGGAGAAAATTGATCAGCAACCACCAGGATTCCAGCAGATTTTCTCAATCAATTCATGGACGACCTCCCGTTGTTAAATTGAACTCAAGTGTTGACTATCGAGGTTAATCACTCTGATGATTCCTTTTGTTTCTTCTTATATTTTTTTGAACTTGCTTTTCTCTTGCTTATACATTGTTTTTATTTATAGTGTTATACTCAACAACATGACTAAGCCATAGCATAAAGTATACTAGTAGTTGCCCTTTTCTCACTTTAAGATTTGTATTTGGACCTCTAATAATTTGTAACAAGAGTAGATGAAAAGGTCCTTGAGATACTAAAGCTTTGACACAGAAAAGGGTTTTACTAGAGTGAGAAACGTTGAGTATTCTCGCGTTACAAATACTTATTTACTTATCGTCACATTTCAAATATTCGTTAGTCCATGTAATGTAAGATGACCACCATTTGCATCGACTATGAATGGTCTGTAGACCAAACTAACGCTAATCCCAGTTACCTGTGTAATAAATATCTAAATTGATGGATTGTAAAGTAGGAGTTGCTCTGTGATAAAAATTGTACTAATACTTTGTGAAAAGTTGATCTTGGTGGTAGGCATTTGTGACATGATTGGCCAAGCATCTAAAATCAGTTTATTTTGAAAAGTGTTTTTCTCAAAGGTGCTTTTCAAAAAAAGTACTTTAGGTGAGAAACAATTTGTGTTTGATTAATTAATTTGAAAAACACTTTTGAGCAACAATTAGTCTTTGGCCAGGCTTTTAAAAAGTGCTTCTAAGTTGGGCGTTTGGACATAAGAATTGTGAAATTCCGGTAAAAAGTGAAAAATATTTTCAAATGAAAATGGTATTTGAAAATTAAAGTTATGTTTGGACATGAATACAATCTGGAGCTGTTTTTGAATTTTTGTGAGTGATTTGAAGTGAATTCTGAAAAGTAGCTTGTTAACGTTTTTCAAATTTTCGAAAAATTCCGAAATTCAACTTCAAGTGAAATTTGAAATTTTCATGACCAAACACTGATTTCGAAAAAAGTGAATTATTTTTTATGGCCAAATGCAGTATTGTCAAAGGCGCGCTTAAGCCCTAAAGCGAGGCTCAAAACATGTTGAGCACTTCGCCTCACTTCGCGGGCGCTTTAGTGTTGCATCAAGGCTCAAAGGCATACTTTTCCTTGCCAATGAGTGTAATCCTGAAAAGACGACATTGAACAATTGATATTTCACTTTATCATAATTTTTAAATTTTTTTTTTGTCCATATATTTGTTATTCATGCTTATAATTATTGGTCTTGGACTACAACAACAACCCAGTATAATCCCGCTTAGTGAGGTCTGGGGAGGGTAGTGTGTACGCAAACCTTACCTCTACCCTGGGGTAGAGGCTGTTTCCAAATAGACCCCCGATATCCTTTCCTTCAAGAACTTCCCACCTTGCTCTTGGGGAGACTTGAACTCACAACCTCTTGGTTGGAAGTGGAGGTTGCTTACCATCAGAGCAACCCTTCTTGTCATATACGTATTTTTACTTTTTCCCAGTTGCGCCTTTTTTCATTAAAGCCCCCGCTTTATTTGCACTTTGCGCTTAAAGCTCCAACGGGCCTTAGAGCTTTTTTGCACTTTTCGCCTTTGATAACACTGGCCAAATGGCCCCTAAGTGTATTTTTTCGAAATTGTTTTTCAAAAAAGTGCTTTTGATGAAAATCTATTTTTTCTGCTTCTCAAAAACTGCTTTTGCTTTTACTCAAAAGCACTTTTTTTCCTTATAAAAGCTTGGTCAAACACCTTAACTTTGCAAAAAGTACTTTTAGCCCACAAAAGTACTTTTGGCCATAAAGAAGCGGCAAAACAGGCTATAAGCTTTTTGCCCTGAAGTTAAGAATCATTTGATGCAATTAGCATATTGAACATTAATTCTGAGAGATTTTAACCGTATGCCGAAGTTTGAAATACTGTATGCAAAGTTTGTGTGTTACTGGTTAGTATACTTTAATGTTCTCTAGAGCTCCTATATCAATGATTGATTTATTTAGTTGTTTTATGTATTTGCCAATGGGTTCTTGAATAAAATGTTTTGTCGAGAGAACCATTTGCTTCTTGGTCCTTTCTTGGTGCTTATGAATGCTTCATTGCATTGCTATTTGGTATTGATCTCCTTCTCTGCAATATATTCCTGGTGTAGTGCATGTTAAAAAGGAATTTTCAGCTACAATCCTTCTGAGCCATCACATTTATGGATTCAGCTCCTCTTGAGTGCGCATCTTCTCCTGTTCTTCTGTTTCAATTTCAATTTTTGACACATTCCTTTAACAATTCAATGGATTTGATTTATTTAATTAATCAGTGTAGTATCTTTCCGATCATTCTGCCAATGACTTAAAACTATGTTTTGACAAAATGGTAGGAAAGATAATATTTTAACTATTGCTTAAACTATATTGATTAGTAAGAAATCACATGTCAAAATTTAAACTAGAACTGGACGAAAGAAGAACTGAATCCAAACAATTTGACACGTCAAAATAGATGAGCTAATTAAGTTTTATGGTTACGACATCAATGAAAAATCATAACACATGACCCAAATGGAGACTGAAGTTCGAAGAATACTTTAGCAAGAGTCAACCATAAAGTTCGAGAAGTACTAATTTTGAGGTAGTATATGAAAATTNTTGATTCTCTCCATCGCAGCTGGTCGATACTCTTTGCTGATTGATTGGCTGATTGGATTCTTTCCAATTTTGCGAGTCCTTTCCTTAGGCGTCCAGATTTGCTGATTGTATTGTAATCTTTGCTGATTGATTTCTTTCCTTAGTCAAGGATCGACTCCAGCAGTCTTGTAGTATCTTCTTGACTCCTTGTAATTGATTTCCTGCATATGCATATTATTTGCATCATTAAAACTGGATCTAACAATCTCCCCCTTTTTGATGATGACAAAATAATATATAAATGTAAACACCAGTCGACTTCCCTGTGTTTTACTCCCCCTTAATGTATGCAGTTGACTGGTCCATGATACTCCCCCTCAATGTATGCAGTTGACTGGTCTATGACAGAGTCGACTTCTGTACCTGTACCTATACTTTTTCTCCCCTTTTTGGCATCAGCAAAGAGGGAACAAGACAAGAAATAAACATAATAGATAGCATTGAAGTAGAAAAGTTATAGTGATCATCCAACGGCTAGGAAAACAGCCCACAAAAACAGCACACCAAAAAAATAAAAATTATCCAAAGGCTGAAAACACAACCCAAAACCAGCAGAGCAAAAGAAATTGTCTTAAAAACATTCACATTAACGACGCAGAAAGTAAGTAAGGGTGTTGCATATGGCCTCCTTCAACTGTTCAAAGCTCGCATTGCCTGAGATGCTCACTCCATCCAACCTGTCATGAATCTCCCTGAAGGCTTTGCCAGCATTCTCCCTAACTCTGAGAACAACTACTCTAATTTTGGACACATCAGACCCTATTTCCTTGGAAATAGCATGAATGTCACCAACAGTAGACTGAGTGGCTGTGAGAAGATTTTTGATTTCAGAGAGTTGAGAGTCAATAACACGAAGCTTTTCACCAAGATCAGGATTGTCAAGACTAGGATGAGGGACAGAGGGTGAAGGTTTGGGCTCTACAGGGGCATGCTTTGCTTCACTATCGTACTTCTTAACCCAGGAGCCTGACACTCACATATTCCATACTAGCAAAGGCTCTAGAATTGTAGGACTTGGAGACAGTGATGAAGGGATAGCTGGACGGGGAAATTTGATGAGCTTTCAGAATGTGAGTGATTTGTCATGCCATAGGGTAGACTGGTGGGATCTTCAACACTTTCGATCATGAAATTGATAACCGAGCAGGAAAACTTGATTTTGAGTTTGGTGACGAGGCAATATATGAAGAATGTGTCTCTTTGGGAGAAAGTTGAAAAGGAACCAGTACGGGGAAGCAAAGTAGTTGCCACAATGTGGGCCAGAACCCGAGTTTCGAAACTAACATCACTGGGACCTAATTGGTTTGGAAGGGGGTCAGAGGGACACTCAACAATACACTGTTTGACTTGGTCAAAGGAAATTTCAAAGTCATCAGGCCAGGTGTTTTTAAACAGCGTAGGAAAACCAGAATAACGACACTGAAAAAGCGAATCAACCAGGGCACAATCAAGAACAATGCGTTTACCTAACATTAGAGATTCCAACCTATCAGGTTTACTGGACGAAGATTTGCATAAAACATTTTTACCAGGGGTTCATATACCTTAGGCGGAGGAATAGAGAAGAACTTAGCCCAACCTTGATAAACGAAAAGGTCTTTGACCTTGCAATTGAGGGCTTCCATATCGTCAAGGTTGACAACCCTTCCATGAGCAATGGGCTTGTCTTTCAGAGCAATGAAGAAATCCTTATTTGGGGAATCCCAGATAGATTAGTAGTGCGTAAGAGCTAAGAAAATCTATTAGGGGACGAGGGCTTTGAAACATTGGCCCTTGCCAAGTTACACTAAAAGTTAAGCTAGGATGAAGCTCATCCGACGTTTGATTATAAAATGGATTGACTTGCAGTAGAGTCCGAGCCAGAATTTGAAGTTTATGAGTTTGAGATTTTAGTCTTTTTTTTGATTTTGCACCGGGTGTCCGAGTCTCTAAGAGCCACGACTAATCCCGGGGGTGCACAGGCCCTCGACAAGGAGTTTCCCGCAAGTGCACCACGGTTAATTCAGGTTTTACCCAGTCCGATGACCCTCAAATTGTTTGCACCCAGTGAGTTTCAAACTTGAGACCTTGAAAGGGAGCAAACCCCAAGGCTCAAGTCAATTGCCACCAGGCCAACCCTTGAGGGTTGAGATTTTAGTCTTTTTAAGTTACTAAGCTCTAAATTAATAATTTATACATATTCAATAGTTTTGTTAAGGAAAATACAGAGTTTGAATCATAGTTATTGGGTTTGGCCGAAACTGTAACCAAAAAGCTCCGCCCTTGACTAGCCGGATGAATTATACTAAGTAAATGTTTAGGATTATTGAATCCTACATAGAGGGTGGAATGATAATCTTTGTAAGAGCTTAATTGGACCAGAACTTTTAGGAAACCGGTGTCCCTTTATTTTTGCTGATGATAGTATGATTTTTAGATTTTTTTTAATCTACTTTATTTTTTTTAAAAGTTCTTTGTATATAGATATTTCATTTGGAGCATCTTGATTAATGTTTGCTTAAACTTCTAAGTTGTTCAGTGAGGGTTATTTGTTGGATGCATTGTTTTGTTTAATGTGCTTTAGATATCTGACTTTTTGAACTTGCGTTTCAGTTTTGTATACTGAATGTGAGCTTGTGTATTAAAGAGTTCAACGTCAGTCATATATCAGCAATGCCTCACAGAACTCGGCCTTTGGCAGCTCTTCTACTGTTTACTGGACTTAACGTTGTTTTGGTCTCAACAATAACTCCTGTCTATGATTTCGTATGCTTCCATCCATATTGGGAAAGAAGAGTAAGACTTGTTATTTGCATCTCTACTAATCAATCTGATAACTGCTCCTCTATTCAGCAATCATTGGCTTGGGTTATCTCTTCACCGTTTCTTTCTTGTTTATAATCCTCTGTCCAAGTTATTGTTCGTGACGAGTCATTTATTAGAATAAATGTTTTTGCTATTTGTATTACTTTATTAGCAGAAGTCTTAGTATTCGGCTTAAATGAATCTTACAATTATAATGAGCATGCTTTATTGATTATGTTACTGATTGAGAGAAGTTGATTTTAGTAAAACCTAAACTTAAGTTTAGCAGAGAGTTTCATTAAATATTTGCTAATTTGAGGTAGACTTTATTTCTTTGTGAACTTTCCCTAATCACCTCAGCTTAATTTTGTATTAAATGCTCTAACTTCAGTGTATTTTGTTGTCTTTGTCCTCTTATTACCGTATTACTGATAACTTATTTCCCAAACCTATATCAGAGAGAGCGTCGGCGTCAGGAACGTGAAGCACCTTTAAGAGGTTGAGCAGCTGCTTAGTGTGATATCAGGGTTGGAGGTTTTATATAGCAGATTATTTAATTTAGCCTTGTCACGACTCAAAAAATACTTGGAGAATATGAAAGAAGTTGGAGCCATACACGATGGTTTTTCATTGTACGACATGTTTTTGTTGTTTCCGTGGTAAATATGGAGTCACAATCTGAAATTGAGCAAAATGCTGTGCTAGGCTTACACTAGAAATGTAGAAAAGAAGATATGTTTCTTACCATAGCATACCTGCTCTTTTGGAAAAGCCTTGCGACAAGTTATTTAGAAGCTTAGAGCATAGTGCTAGAACGTTTTCAAAGTTGATTAGTGCTCTTTTGCTGTGTATGATGTAAGATTATTGATAACTTGATGATACTTGCTAATTTTACAAGACATCGGATGGTTTTAATTCTTTGGTGAACGGAAATCAACCAATTAATGGACAATGAGGGGGGAAGGTGAACGGAAATCAACCAAAATTCGAACCGCTTGATTCACTTCTTCATAGCCCTTTCATTAAAGTTGGGAATGGGGGGAACCAATCAGAAGTGCAAATCACGCATGCAAACCTAAGAAACAATTAACAGACCGCGTCGCAACGACTAGGACTTGCATCAGAGGAGTTTTAAGCGTAGCCACTAACCGCCTGAATCTCTGTAGTAGACCATCTCTTTAATCAATGAGTAACGTTAATCTCTTTCTGTCATGACCCAAAATTTCGTGATGCCACCTAACATCCAAGATTAGGTAACTCATTCACACTAATAACATTCAATCATCAAAACACGATATAATAAGTCTGAATAATCATAAATAGCAGAATAAGTAATCAACTTAAGCCAAAATGGTGATACACAATACCAACTCCCAAAATCAAGTAGTACAAAGTCATGAGCTCTAAACCAAATACATAACGGGTCTCAAAGTACAATACTACCTGAAAGTAATACAACAATAGGAAATATGGGAAGGGGATTCCAAGGGTCTGTAACGGTCATGCAACACTACCTTAAATCCTCCTTATCAACGAGCGTGCTCACTCTCGACGTCCATTACAACCAACGCCCGATCTATACAAAAATGTGCAGAAGTGTAATGTGAATACATGTACTCAGTAAATATCAAGATTAAACTCGGTGCAGTAGCGACGAGGTTCAAGTCATGTGATACTCACTAATCAAAGATCTGTCCAACTTATATATAATAACTTGCAACAAGGATATTACAAGATGTAGTACCATCAACTCAACAAACATGAGATAACAACTCAATATAGGTAAATCCATCTTGACAATAAAATCATCAAATAATAACAGAAGCATAGGAAAGCATGTTAAATGCAACATGAAAATATGTGAAATGCATGACAAATCATAAAAAATTCACTTGCATGATTAAGAATGCCACCCTTATACTCCACTTATCATCAACGGAGAATGCCACCATTGTACTCGACTCATCATCAACCGAGAATGCCACACTTATACTCCCCATCAAAATCAATCACATCAACCAAAGTACTACAATCCGCGTGTACGCCATCAAGAGAGAAATATGAAAGGACGACTCTAGGGGACGAATCCATATCCACACATTATACGATAAAAACCTCGTCCCATAACGATAAGTGCACAACAAAGACCTCGTGCCATATCAGTAACCATATCATCATAATCATATGGCAAAGACCCGATACCACAACATCATTACAATAACAATATCCGTATGGAAGAGACCTCGTGCTAACACCCAATCAATCCGCTCAACATGTCCATATGTGCCATGATCATAACAAATTCAAGATAACAATTTATCATCAAGAGATATATTCTCACAATTCATCAATAAGGTGCACAAGGACATGGAAATAATAAAGTGCGGATGTGTGCTCAAGATATAAGACGTGACTACGGTTAAATTAATTTAGCAATAATTCCACAAATGCCCATATTGGCTAATTAAGAGATAATAATCCTAAAACATGATCTCTAGCATGAAAGGATAAGCTCACGTTGTCATACAGAGGATTACACATGTATCATAGAGAGCACACAATTAAATTAAGGAGTAGTAAAAGCCTAGAGTGTAATCCGGTTATTTTCGTACATAGCACCTGTATATACGCTCGTCACCACGCATAATCGTTGCTTTATATACATAGTAATTAAATAATTAAGGTCCAACCCTAAAGGTTATTCTCTCACACAAGATTAGGCAAGATACTTTCCTCAACAAGCCCAACTCAACCCTGTAAAATCGATTTTCCCGTAAAAAATCACCTCCAACTGGCTCGAGTCTAAAAATAAATAACTCAATAACGTCAAACAATGCTATAGGAATCAATTCCAAACAATAAATCTTTAATCTTTATTTAATTTTTAAAAAGTCAACAAAAGTCAAACCCAGACCCACACGGTCAAAATTCGACTCAAGGGGTAGATCCCGACTATCCATAACCGCACGAGTCCAAATATGTGATTAGATTTCAAAACCAAGTCCAAATCATATCTCAAAACCCTAATTTTCACTTTCTTAAATTGTAGAAAAAATTCTCAATTTTCCCTCAAAATTCCATGTTTTTGGTGTTAATAGTTCATGGGAAAACAAGATATATTATCAAAATCAAGTAGAGATCACTTACCCTTTTTTTCTTGTATAAAAATACTCTTTAAAATTACCGCCCTCCAAGTCTAGAGTTCAAAATATGAGATAATGGGTGTAAGTCCTGAAATATCTATTAATAACAAGTTGCGGAAGTCGCAAATGCGAACTTGGTCCCTACAATAGACTTTGCAATTGTGACTAGGAACCAAGAAAATGCGACTAAGCATTGCAAATGTGAAGCACTCTTTGCAAGCGCGGATGTCGTAATTGCGACAACAACTTCGTAAATGCGAAGCTGGCCTTCATAGCTCCACATTGCAAATGCAATCAACAGTCCGCAAATGCAAGCAGACCATCACAAATGTCTGCAGCACCAACAAATCTTTCAACTTCCAAAACTCAATCCGAAACCAATCCGAAATTCACCGGGGTCCCTCGGGCCCCACACCAAACATCCATGCAAGTATATAAATCACATACAAACTCGCTCATATGCTCAAAGAACCAAAATAATATCCATAACCAAGAGTCAAGCACCAAAACATATGTAGCATGTCTTCGAGTTCAAGACCTTCAAAGATTCACAACCAAGCGTCCGATTCATGCCTAACCAACTTGGAATGCAACCAAACTTTTCACACAAGTTTCAAATGACAAAAATGACCTATTTCAAGTCCCAGAATAACAATCTCAACCCCGAAAGCCTCAAAGTCAACTCCTGATCAAACTTGTGAACTTTCCAAACCTTCACATTGCAAACTTTCGATAAATAGAGCCAAAATATCCTAAGAACCTCCAAATTCAAATTCGAACATACGCCTAAGTCCAAAATCTCCGTACGAACCTATTAGAACCATCAAAATATGAATTCGAGGTCCTTTACATAAAATTTATATGTTGGTCAACTCTTATAACTTAAACCTTGAAAAATAAAACTAATTGTTCCAATTCACTCCAAAACCTTTTTGGAATTAAATCAACCAACCCTGTAAGTCATAAACAATAACCAAGCCTACAAGAATCATCAAATGGGGAAACAAAGATCAAATACACAAAAGGACCATCCAGATCATTACATCTCCACCTCTTAATTAAACATTCATCCTCAAACGAGTTTACAATCATACCTGAAATGCCAAAAAGGTGAGGATATCTTTTTCACATATCATGCTTGGTTTCCCAAGTCACCTTCTCGATTGGATGACTCTTAATTGGACCTTCACTGACATGATCTCCTTGGACCCAAACTTCCGAACATGCCTGTCCAAAATAGCCACCAGCTCTTCTTCATAAGTCAGATTCTCATCCAATTGTACTGAACTGAAGTCTAAAACATGGGACTTATCTTCATGATGTTTCCGAAGCATAGAAACATGGAACACCGGATGAACACCAGAAAGACTAGGAGGCAAGCAAATGTATAAGCAACCTCGCCGACTTTCTCCAACACCTCAAATGGACCAATAAACATTGGCTTCAACTTGCCATTCTTTGCAAACTTCATCATGCCCTTCATAGGAAAAAATCTTAGAAGAACATTCTCGTCTTCCATGAAAGCCACTTCATGAACCGTCTGATCCTCATTACTCTTTTGCCCGAACTGGGTTGTGCGAAGCCTATGCTGAATCAACTTCACCTTCTCTAAATCATTACGAACCAAGTCTTAGACCAATAACCTAGCCTTGTCGGGCTCGAACCAACTAATCAGAGAATGACATCGCCTCCCATATAAGGCCTCATACGGAGCTATATGGATAGTAGACTGCTATTTATTATTGTTGGTGAACTCCCTTAGTGATAAAAACCGATCCCACTGACCTCCAAAATCAATAGTGCATGCCCTTAAAATATCCTCAAACATCTTAATAGTCCGCTCAGACTACCCGTCCGTCTGAGAGTGAAATGCATTACTCAACTCAACCTGCATGTCCAATTCACACCGAACCATCCCCAAAATTGTGAAGTCATCTAAGTGCCGCAATTTGAGATGATAGAAATCGTTATACCATGCAGGCAAACAATCTCTCTAATGTAGATCCTAGCCAACTGCTCCGAAATATAGGAAGTCATGACCGGAATGAAATGCGGCGACTTGGTCAACCAATCAACAATGACCCAAATGGCATCAAACTTCCTCAAATTTCTGTGGCAAACCTACCAATAAGTTCATAGTAATGCTCTCCCACTTCCACTCCGGTATATCAATCTTCTAAAGTAAACCACCCATAATCCGATGCTTATACATGACCTGTTAGCAATTCAAACATCTAAAACCATGCCCAACAATGTCCTTCTTCATCCTCCTCCACCAATAATGCTGCTTCAAGTCACGATGCATCTTCGTAGTACCTGGATGAATAGAATACCGCCAACTATAAGCCTCCTCAAGAATAAACTCTCTCAAGCCATCGACATTGGGAATATAAACTCAACCCTGGAGTCACAATACAACATCATCATCAATAGTTACCTCCTTAGCACCACCGTGCTGCACCGTGTCCTTTAGGACAAGTAAATTTAGACCATCATACTGGCTATCCTTAATTCACTCAAACAAGGACGACCGATATACAACACAAGCAAGGGCTCTTCTCGGCTCCGAAATATCCAAGCTTACAATCTATTGGAAAATGCATGATCAACCATAGCTAAAGGTCTCTCCACGGCTGGAAAGAATGATAAACTCCACATGATCTCCACCTTTTTACTCAAGGTGTCTGCTACCACATTAGCCTTCCTTGGATAATAGAGAATATAACAACAATAACAACAACCCAGTAAATCCCACAAGTGGGGTCTGGGGAG